CTGAACCAACCGTTTTTGACGAGATCCATCTTAACAGACTGATAATTTTTAAAAGAGTAATTTCATTCAACAAAGTAGCATATTAATGATTACTAACTAGTTATCGGTGTTATTTTGTTGTTTTTCTTTTCTGTTTTGGAGATAACGTACATTTATAAACGTACAGGGTATTTAGATTTTAGATTTATGTTTACAAACGAATTTTACTCGTTAAATAAATGTTTAATTTCACTATTTCCTAGAGGTTAAGTAATGAAAACCTGATAGGTTAAGAGTTAGAGTAGCTTGAAGCTAATCTTCGCCTATCTGGTGCAAATGTTGTACATTTGTTCAATAAAGACATTTTTATTTTATTTATTTGCCAATAGATACCAATGGGTTTCAACCATTTCATTGATGATAAAATGTTACAAAATTAATAGAATTTGTCCTCTCTTGTAAAATTTTCATTTTTAAACTAACAATAGTTTATTCGTACTTTGTCCACGCTATACACGTATACAAAATTTTGTTTTATTATTACACAATTATTTAGCTTATCTTATCTGCTTTGGTTGATAAAATAAAGGCATGGATTGTTTGAAAATGTTGAAGTTGTTTTATTTTTATTCCGAAGTTGATATGTTTATCAAATAGTTAATTTTGAAAAATGTAAATCTTTATTCAATGTATTACATTCTATATTAGTTAGGGGGCTGGTGGCAAAAATTTTAACTCGTTTGCTCGTGAGGCAGAAGTTAAAAATAGTGATGTTTTGGTTTTATAACCATTAATGGGGTCTATTATATAACAATTCCTTTATCCGTTAAAATATTGAAGTATTGAAAGCCTTTAAAAATATTTTCGGATTTACTAAATTACTTCTGTCATTATTTAAACGGATTCCTTTAAAATACATTAGAGGACTATCTTAAAGAAATCTTTTTAAATAATGACAAGTAAATTAACGAATACGAACATATTTTTAAAGGCCGCCAATATTTTTAAAGGCCGCCAATATTTTTAAAGGCCGTTAAATATAAAGGAATTGTTACAGAATAGACCCTAATGGGGTCTATTCTGTAAAAATTCCTTTATATTTAACGGCCTTTAAAAATATTTTCTTCTTTACTTCTGTCATTATTTAAACGGATCTTTAAAATATATTGGAGGACTATCTTAAAGAAATCTGTTTAAATAATGACAGAAGTAAATTAACGAATACAAATATACTTTTAAAGGCCGTTAAATATAAAGGAATTTTTACAGAATAGACCCCATTGGGGTCTATTTTGTAAAAATTCCTTTATATTTAAAGGCCTTTAAAAATATTGGCGGCCTTTAAAAGTATATTTGTATTCGTTAATTTACTTCTATCATTATTTAGACAGATTTCTTTAAGATAGTCCTCTAATGTATTTTAAAGATCCGTTTAAATAGTGACCGAATTAAAGAAGAAAATATTTTTAAAGGCCGTTAAATATAAAGGAATTTTTACAGAATAGACCCCAGTGACTGCTAAACCATTATCACTTCATTATTAAATGATAAGATGTTAAACATGTAAAAAAAAGTTCCCCTAAAATTTATCTGCTTGCGTGTAGCTCTTGTTTTAAGTTATATTCGTTAACCAGGCAATCACATAAATCATTGACAGACGTATGTCTCTGCATTAATGAGTACTTAATAGATTTTAATTTTTTAATTATACAGAGATAAACAATTTGCTTGTCAATGAAATGTACAAGAATTTGTTAATTATGTCATAAACAATACGAAAATAATAGTCATCTTATGTGTACTTCGATAATGAGAGGCAAATTTTCAAAATTACAAAAACGCTCTATTATATTATTTGCTCGTACCTACCTGGCTATTCGCTAGATATTCCATTATATGTCCGAACAATGATTATTGCTATCTGACATTAATATTACTGATTTTTCGTAGCCAGAATCTGCTTTTAATTATAACGTTTAATTAATTTTCAAAATGCAAAATATTTCGATCAGAAAAATGGTCACATCACCCTGTATACTTGATAACTCCTGTTACAACTTTATATGGCTTATGGAAGATATATCTCGGTGAGATGGAGTCTATGTTCGCTTAAAGCAGTGGTAGCGTATCGAGCGCCTCCTGCCAAAAGCCATATCTTGCCTCACCAGATCCTACATCAGGTTCTGTTCCAACTGTGCGGAGGCGTGTCATATCAAGAGGAGTGAGACTAAGAATGACTTCTGTTATGTTGAGACATACACTGTTCTTTGAATTTGTTCTAGTTTACGGATAGCTGTTAATTTTTGGGTTTTTTGGTACCCAGACAACTGCACCGTATGTTAGCATAGGTCTTATGATAGCCGTGTAGGTCCATGCGACGACTCTGGGGGAGAAACCCCAGGTACGCTTCACGGTTCGGCGACATTGTTCATAAGCAATGTATGCTCTTTTGACTCTGTTTTCTAAATACGAGTTCCATGTTAACTTGCTGTCAAACGTGAGACCTAAGGGCCGGTTCTGTTAAACGGAGATTAAAATGACATTGTTAATGTAAACATGTCATTTTAAACTTCGTTTAACACAACGGTGGAATCGGTCCTAAGTACTTCACCTCTGTTGCAAAGTTTAGTTTTGTGTTTAGGAGTGCTGGAGGTTTTAATTCCATTTTCATCCTTTTCCTTGTGAAAAGGACCATTTCAGTCTTCTTCGGATTGATAGACAGTCCTTACACCACTGTTCTATAATTTTGAGAGCTACTTGCATTCTTTCGCAGAGTATGTTCTCAAAATTTCCTGTTTGCAGAATGACCAGTTCATTTGCATATGCTATTGTGTAGTGACTGTCATATTATTGAGGCGGCTGATGTCGAGGGCCATGTTCCTCCCTGTGGACATCCCCTCGCAACCAAGTCTCTTCTACACTTATGTTTACTGCTCGCTTTGAGAGCATGTTATGTATCCATCCACTAACCATCTGTGGAACATTCCTGTTGGTTAGTGAGTGTATTATCTTGAGAAAGGTGGTAGGGCTGGATAGATACCGTCAGGTCCTGGCTATTTAAATGGAGAGAAGCTGGATATTACCCATCTAATTTTTTCATCGTCTACAATAGTGTGTGGCAGTTTGCCAATCATAGACAGATGGGTTGCATTCTTCCTCTGCCCAGTCGGTCACGTCTGTGATGACCGAGTCAGGGAAGAGTGTTGACAGTAGAAGCTTGATGCTATCTTCGAGGTTGGCAGTTTTCGTGCCATCCTCTTTGATAAACGCATCAATGTTTCGGTGCGGATCTTAAATTTTGAGAGATCTTTTTGAAGCCCCGCTGCATGCGGATATCTTCGATAACTCCTGAGCGGATACAGAGAAAAACACCAAATTTTAAACTTATTTTGTATTAATACTGCACTACATATGTTTCGGGAGACAATTTTCCCATATTCTGGTTCAGTCAAATGTATTTGCATACGCTTTAATTCATCCTGCGGCGAGCTGATTAAATTTTGGGCATAGTCGAAACATCTGGGGGTACTTTATTTTTCTACATTATTGGTGTATTGAACAATTCTAATTTAAAATTTTTAAAACACATTTTTTTTATTTTTGATCAAAATACTGTTGACAAGAAAGTTTTGCTGTTCGCAAACTTGTTTATTAATCTTTTTTGACAGCATATGCCTATCAAGACTGCTAGAACGAGGAGACGAAGAGGCGCGAGCGGCCCAAGCGGTGCAGTGCACACCCACCATTTACTATTTAATGATTAAAATTATGAGATTCCATATAAAATCTATTTTACATATATTTTAGAATGTCTTAAATAATTTCTGTGAAATGTAGACGAGATTCTTGCATTTTTTTGGCAGTTTTGCAGCTCTACTCCACTTATGCACAAGCCGCCAACTTATCCTATTCATAAGCCTGTCGTTAGATGGCAAATTTATGTACATATATCCATTTTGGTTATTTTAACATGTATATGTTACGGTCAAAGATGATATTTTGGTCTTTTACTATATTGGCCGGTCATTTTCGTAAATCTATTTGATTGGGCATTTTGCTGACGTTAGTGTCCGGGTCAATATCGTCAGTGCCCAATTTACAATACTGCCCGTAACATATACATACCAGCTGTTGTATTTAATGTACGTTGGTAAAATGATATATGCGAATACCTTTCCTGTATGAATAAACTGTGCATGTTCAAAACCAGATATGATTATTTTCAGAATTTGGAAGTGAAAAAAATCACATATTGTTGCTTACTTATTTTTACCTTTTCCAACATATCTGTATTTGCCATCTAACCACAGAAGTATCAAAGCTTAATTCCTTATCATTCCTAACGAGCAATTCATATGCATTTTCTCCCACCAGCTCCTAGCTATATTATCTAAAATTTAATTTTTAAATTTGCGAAATATACCCTAGCTAATCAATATTTTAGAAGATTTTGAAGCGAAATCTAGTTCAAAGAACGATTGGTTCATTTTAACATGTCTAATAAAATAAAATTTTGTTTTTTTTATTACATACCTTAGCTAATTAGCCTTACTGACTCTTCACAACTTAATTTCAACATAGGTTTAATTCAAGAAATGAGCAAATTGTTTATAAATCTCCTATATTTGCAATGTAAAACAAATTCTGTAATCAGGTTTAGTCATACTCCACAAATTTACATAAAGTTCAAACAAAATGTTATGTAAAAGTACTAAATATTCGCCTATGTAAGTTTTTTGTTTTAATTATTACATTATTATTATAAAGCTTTCGTAGCTAAAGCAGAGAACCACAGGCCCGTTTGGTTAATAAAATAAATTTTTTTTGATTAATTTGATTAAATCTGGTTCAAAGTACGATTGACTCATTTCAATATGCCTAATAAAATATAATCTTGTTTTTTTTATTTTTCATTAGAGGGTTTGAAAATGCACTATATAAAGTATATATAGCCCCCTTCAGCATTCGTCGAAATAATTGCTAAACCAATAAAACATGCCAAGAAGGTAATAAAATACAATTTCTAACAATGTAGATATGAACGTATTTATTAGGAATGTCAAAACAAATAAAAAAAATTACAAAATATTTTTAATATTAGTCTCTCCAGTTGGATTCTCTTCTTTGTTTATTATACTCTCCATGTACATGGTTACACATTTTACAAGCCAATATATATAAAAAAAACGTACGTAGACACCATTAAGACCTCATTTTATTTAAAAGTAAAAATCTCACAAATATTTTATCTTTTGATAAACTAAAGGGAATTAACGTAATCAGAAGGATACAAAAATGTCTATAGATAAAATAGTGTTAAAATAATACTGGATATTATTTTCTCCTATTTTTACCATTGATTTTGTTTTGAAAATATTTCTTTTATAGTACTTTTTCTACGAAAACACAATTTACCAGTTAATTTGTACAATTAAGGTCAAAAATAACAATACTAATTTTAAACAATAATTAAATTAGAGTAACAAATTATTTCAGTATTTAAAAAAATTATTATTGTGGATATACAAAAAATGTATTCAATACACTTAGTTTTAAGCATAAGATTTGTTATAATAATAAATAATATATAATACATTGCTACATAATAATTTGGGGTTCAGGAACTGAGGTGGCTATATTTTTATGGGGCAAAACTTGTCCTCCATTTATGTAGGTCTCATCTTTAACAATTACGTCTTCGCCTAGAACTGTGCTGCCTTCCATTCGTACCCACCTACCTACATGGCACTTCCATCCTACTATGCAGCTTTCAAGCCATGAATTAGAACAAATGGTTGCACCTCTCAGAATTGTTGATCGTTTTATACACACACCTGAAATTTAGAAGATAATTTTTTTAATTAAAAGTATGCTCACATTTAAATTGCTGTAAGAGAGTATAATTTTAGTTCCATTTAGTTTAAACACTCTGGAAAATATAAAATCAATTTCTGTATTTAAATGTTTCTGGGAATTATTATTTTTGTTCCAAAGTAAAGATTTATTTCATGAAGCTCTACAAAATGAACATTCCCTAATGAGAAATAACCAACAGAGCTAGAGAAAGAGAAAAATAAACTTTATTGGTACAAACAAGTATTTCCCCTTATAAATGACTAATTTAATACTTTAAATATGCACAGGGATTATCTTTATTGAATATGAATCACACTTATAAAGATAAAAATATTTTGAAATGTGCTGTGCAAAGATCAATTACTACTCAAATCAATATTGATATTTAAATAATAAATCCTGTCAATATTTCAACAATTTTCCCCTAATTTTAATGTTTCGATTAATTTTTGTTCCAAATCAATTTTGGGATGTCATTCATCAAGGGTTAAGAATAGTGTTGCCAGGCAGGTGTAATATGGAAAATACCAAGGGATTAAAAGGAAAGACAAAATTGAGATGAATCTATTAGAGACATCATCTCCATCTGGTAACACTAGATAGGAAGTAAAAATATTTCATCTAAGAAACTTACCATCTTCTATTACAACCCCTGGTCCAATAGTAACATTAGGTCCAATTTGACAGTTGTTTCCAATTGTTGCTGTTGGATCTACTATCACATTCCCAACCACACCAGGGCCTTTATACAATTTTTGGCTGTTAGTTTCTCTTAAATGAGTTAAATACAAGCACATCCCTGTCAGAAAGTCTTTTGGTTGACCCACGTCCATCCAAAACCCTTTCAATTCAAATGCATACAACTGTTTGTCAGAAGCCATATTTGGGAAAACTTCCTTTTCAATAGAAGTTGGTTTAAGGTCAATTCTGTTGATTACACTGGGGTTTAGAATGTATAAGCCAGCATTTATTTTGTTCGAGATAAATTCCTGGGGTTTTTCAATAAAGCTTTGTATACAATTAGTTTTATCATAAACCACTACACCATATTTAGAAGGCTCTTCGACCTTTGTAACCACTATTGTACCTTCTTTACCATGATCTTCATGGAACTTGGCTAGTTCTCTAAATGGAAAGTCACAGATTATATCTGAATTAAGTACAAAAAATGGCTTTGTGCTTTTGGAAAGATGCTCTTTGGCTAAGGCTATTGGTCCTGCAGTACCTAGAGGCTCAGTCTCATGAGAATAGATTATGTTAACACCTAGTTTTGTAGCTTCTATGGTTAGTTCTTCTTCCATTTGTTTGGCACGATATGATACTGCTAGAATTACTTCTGTGACTCCAGCATCTACTAATGCTTCAATCTGATGCAACAAGATTGGTTTATTGGCAAATTCTACAAGAGGTTTTGGTCTACTCAAGGTGAGAGGTCTCAGTCTTGTACCATATCCTCCAACGAGAATCAGTGCTCTTTTGCCTTCAACCATTTTTTTTACTAGAAGTTATAAAAAAATATGTTATCCAGTAGTGTGTATAAATATACCTACTCACCTTTTCAATAGGATGTAATATACTTATCATACACGTGTGTTTTTGTTATTTAAACGGAAGAACAATGAAATAAACACGTCTGCATATATAATTTTAAAACTAATTCAGTGATAAGAAATGTCAGATAAATTCTAAGAACAAAAACATGATTTGTTGGTTAGACAACGCACACGTAAACAAACAATATAATTAAGCCAAACACACAGTTTTACGAATAAATATACAACCAAACATATAACTGGTTAATTTAAAAAATTAAAAAGTTACATTAATTGTGATTGGTTACTAATTTTAGGTTATGTCTTGCAAATTGTCCTCTTGTCTTTCGGAACTCTGGCAATTTATGAAATGCCCCTTGGCTGATTACTTCGTTGTATGTGTCACAATATTCCTTAAAAAGAAGCAGAGTTTACATGCAGCTGTGTTCCTTTATTACTCCGAATTACACTGTTGCTGAAGGAATTATGAAACGGATTGATCTCGATTAGTTTTAGGGACAGATCAAATTTTTTGCAGTTTCCAAGTATCGGTGCAGCACTGCAGTTTTTTTTATTAAAAGTAAATAAAAAAAATAATATGGATTTTGATAGCCCGGACGTTATGAAAGATTTTCCTGGTTTATATGCATCGGATCACAGTAAAAAGTGTAATAACGATAGTGATTGTAAGTTATATTTATTAGGAATTTAAAAATGCAGCAGCTACCTGCTACAGTTGATGTTTTTTCTGTAGATAGCGATGAAGTTGAAAAAGGCTTGAAAAAAGACCTCATAGGCAAACGAAAAGACAAAAAAGATAAAAAGGATAAAGAAAGGGGTTATGCAGCCCTGGAAGGCGAAAGCTCTGATGAGGGAAACAAGTCCAGGTGAAGTAATTAACATGTTTCTATGTAATTAATTGAACGACATAAACTGTCCTGATTAAATAATAACGTTTATGTTGTTATTATTATAGGACCCACTAAACCTCACGTCTTTTAAATTATATTGACTTTTTTAATATATTGTTGAAAAATGTTGATATATAATTAATTTATAATTTATATTGAAGACAAAATAGTTATTAACTTAATGAATATTTTATTTAAAGTAAATAACTACAAGAATAACATTTTTATATTCTATTATCCATACATCTGTGTACCATCTCGTTCCTCCTATATTGGCATTTTTAGTATTGTAAAGTTGAATGTTTTATAGTCTTTATGTTACACTGCACTATTTTAATCAGTTAACATGGAAGTTACTGTTATGATAGACTAATTATGTGTCATATTATAAGAATAAATTGGTGTACCATATTTAAATTAAACGAGACATGATGCATTTATCATTAGCCTTGCAATTGTGGATTAGATTAATATAATAACAGGGAATGTAAATTGTTTACTCTCCATTTTGCAAGTACATGCTGAATGATGTATTCATTAAAGTTGTAAGTATTTTGATGTAAGTAAAATTAAGAAAATTATTGTTTTTATATATATTCTGTGTAAACTTTGTAGCTAATTTTAATTTAGTTGTGGTACTCTAACTTACCTATTAAAATGTTGTATTGTCTTAGACAAAATTGTTTATTTGAAACTATTGTAAACACTGTTATCATTTTTTATAGCACTATAAATTATCTATTTTAGGTATTAGATGGCATAGACAAAAACATCATTTCATAAATTTTGGTTTAAGATCAAAATATTGTATTGACTTGTGCTTATTTTAAAGGATATACGAGTACCTGTGTATATGAAACAAGAACATCCAATTTAATTTTGAATATTTTTTTGTATTTTGGGCACATTGCCACTTGTATTTATTTGATATATTACTATATAATTTAATAAGCAGTTGTTTGGTGATTTGAATAACATTCTTCAGGAAATAAAAAACAGTTATTATCTAAGTTGTGCAAAAGTTTTAGAAATAATATATTATATCAGATTATATGCTGTCAAAACTAACTGTAATATTGTGTCTATCTACATGCAATTTTTACCAATTAATTTATGTCAAATAGATTTCGATTCAGTACCAAATTTTATATAAGAGAGTAAAAATTAAAAAAGAAAATAATGTTAAGTACCTCTGAGAAAATTTAAGCAGTTATTCAATTCAATTTATTCAGTTTAAATACATTACAATATTCTATACAATGTTAAATGACATAATGATAGAATGAAAATATTAAATACAAATGGAAGTCAGACAAACACAGCATCACATTAGGCTTGAAAGTTGGTTTTGTGAACTGCATTGCATGACTCCAAATTTTGTATAGAATAAGCATTCCTAACTTATATAATGAATATAGTGTATAGAAGTTAAGACAAAACAAAAATTACAAAATTTAAAAATAAACAAATTTTCTGTTTTTTCTTGTGCTTTTTTTGTTGCTAAGAAAATACTGGGCGAGTCGCCCAAGAGTAGTACACTTCAAGAATAAAGAGGAATATTATTCTTAAGATCAAGATGGATAAGGAATGTTAAATATATCTGAATTTTTTTGTATGAACATTTTCACCTCAGTTTTAAAAAAGTTAAATTTTGTGTTCTTAGTTTTAGGCTTTTTGGAAACTTGTTAAATAATTTAGGTCCATAGTACATAAAGGAATGTTGGGTAGCAGTTTTATAAAAAAGTTCAGTTTTAATATCAAAGTTAGTTTTTGACCGAGTATCCCTCTGATGATTCAGGGTAGTGAACTTTGATGAATCATAGAACATCCTGGTTAGGCAGTTGTAAACATATATTAAGTGAATATTTAGTAATTTAGTTTCTTGATATAAAAGATTTGTGGAATGATGATACTCTTTCTAAAAATTATTTTAAGAAGAATATTTTGTGAAATTTGTAATGGTGATAGAGTTGATTTGAATGCTGCATCCCATACTGGGATGCAGTATTAAATTATAGATTCAGCAAGAGCTGTGTACAAAATCATTAAATTTTTTCTCGTTAGGATGTTCTGCAATTCATAAAATTTGTGTATTAAAATTCTTAGTCGTTTAGAAACATAGTTGATGTGGTCTACCCATTTTAAATGTTGATCAACAATAACTCCTAGGTACTTGAGAGATTTGGTTTTTTTCAATTATAAAACAGTCACAATTATTGGCAGCAACATAAGATGGTTTATGCAGTTTAATATAAAAAATTTTCATGTTTAGAGAAAGTTTGTTATTATTTAATCATTTGTAGCGCTTTTCATGTTATGTTCAGTGGTAGCTTTAACAGTATCCCATGTAGATCCAGTAAAAATTATTACAGTATCAACTGCATAGCATATTATATGATCCTAGAAATTATTTATTTTACTGATACTGTTAATGTAAATTAAGAAAATAATAGGTCCTAATACTGTGCCTTGTGGTACCCCTAATTGTATTATAGACTCTGAACTAAATTTATTCCCTATTTTAACTCTTTGGGTCAATTGAGTATTTAAATTAATAGTGTTGCTTAACTCTTTTGTGTGAATATTTAATAATTTTTTGTGCTTTGTTTGTTTTTATATTTATTATCTATGTGTTTAATTTATTATATAATATATATTATTTGAACTTTTTTTTTTTTTTTTTTTTTTTTAATTAAGTAGTTTTGTAAGTTTATAAAAATTGTAATGATATTTTGTGTATTTTAAAATACTTGGGTTAAGTATTTGCCGTTTATTATCACAAATAAATAATGCTAAACAGTTTAATAAGCAAAATGGATCTAGTGAGGCCTAAGTGGTGTGAGGCAACCCACCCTCCACCAGAGATAATAAATTATTTAAAATCAGTTCAAGGTCTGAAGAGATTACAAGAACAGATTATCCATTTGTACTACATTTGTTCAACAAAGTCCACATCAATATTTAACATTTTTTATGGTTAACATTCCCCCCCCCCATCTTACATTACAAAGTTTAAAGTAATAAATATGTGAATATTGTTTATTATTGAATGTTTTTGACCAAAACACAATTATATTTCAAATTTGCAGGAGTCAATCAAAAAAGACAAAATCATTTAAATTTACTTCAAAATCTAAGGAAAAAAGAGAGAAATCCAGAGAAAAAGAAGTCACTGAGAAAAAGAAAGAAAAGGAGAAAAAGATAGATAAGAAATATGAAAAAGAAAAAACAAAGAGAGTTAAAAATTCAGTCGAAGAGATTATTGATATAGCTGGTAGGTTTACTAAAATTACACTTGAAAGTTTCTCCTCATATTTTATATATTTTTATAAAAGAATCGGATATAATTATTTATGAATATACGTTTTATTTTCTTAATATAAATTTTGAATTTTCAGAAGCTTTGCCTATTTTTGGTGTTAGTCTAGATCTTGCAGTAGAAAGAAGCAGGTGCCATGATGGAGTAGACTTACCTCTACCAATTAGAGATTGCATTGATTACATAGAATCAGTTGGCATAACCTTCGAAGGTGTATACAAAATTAGCGGCACAAAAACTAAGGTCTCACAAATTAAAAAAATGTACAATCACAGACAGAATGTTAGGTTAAGCGATTACGATGTACCTACGGCCACTAGTTTACTTAAAATGTTTTTACGGTAAAAAATTTGTGTTCAATTCATCATTTTAATATGTTTAAATGTTTCATTTGATTTCAGAGATCTCCCTGAACCTATATTTACAAATGATTTGTTGATTAGATTTGAAGAAGCCGGTGCCATATTAAATTTTAATACCAGGGAAAAACATTTAAAAATTTTGGTTGAAAATTTGCCACCTCTTAATAAATTATTACTGTCATGGCTTATTATCCATTTGGACAATATTTCTTTGAATGTAAGCCCACAATGAATAAAATACCCAAAGCAATTACAGAATTATTATTATTATAACGTTCATTGTAGGAAAAACAAAACAAAATGTCGAAACAACACATAGCGTCAGCATTAAATCACACATTCCACGTATCTTCGAGATTGCTTCAAGCTCTCTTACATCACAGTCGAGCTCTATTCCCTAACCTTGTCATTTTCAAATATGTGCCACCAGTTAATTCCGGAGTACAATTGCCAGAAAGACCACTATTACTGGAAAACGAGCTTAAAAAACAGGAATCTTTGTTAACACAAATTCACACAGAAATGCACATTGGTTGTATTTCAAAAGAGAGGGAGGAGAAGTTATGGGAAGTACAAAGGATAATTACACAACTCAAAGTAAGTTAATATTTGTTTTTTAGCAATTGGATAATTTTGTGCCAGCTCCTATATAATTACAAATAATGTAATCAGCAGTCCCATAGTATTTTTTATTTAATGTAACTGGTACTTGCTTGCCACATTGCGATCTACTGGCTTCACTCCACTTTAAAAACCCTATTCTTACTATATTCGCTCAATTCTCCATCTTTTTGTAAAACAGATTTTTAACTACTTAATTTCCTCTTCTCATTTTGCCACCACTTGTTCCTGCATTTCCATGACCACTGGAAACTGCCTTCTAAGTATTCTGTTACTTCTCTACTAATTCTCAGTCCCTTTACTTCATTAGGTTCTCTCTCTCTCCATTGATAAATCTGTTGCTGCCAATATTTATGCCTAATGGTTAATACCAACATTTAAGTATCTATTTATTGGCTTTATTGTTAATCATTTTCTTATTTTAAAATAAATTTATATCTCTAAAGCGTCTAAGTATTATATTATTATTTTACAAGGAAATATAGCCTATTTTCTAGTGCAAGAAGTAATGTAGTGATCTCTTTGTTCTCTTCTTTCTATATTTATTACTTTTAACCTATTAACTTTTTCTTGTCTCTTATTTTTTTCTTACTTCCTCTACTTCTATCTTTTCTGCTTCTTTTATCCTTGCCCATCCGCGTCAGATTTTTTTTAAATTTTATTTCCTTTACCTAATTTTTTTTCTGCTATTTAGTTTAAGCAGCTCGTATACCACAAATCACAAAATTGTTATAAATAATATTGAAATTTTAATTGTAATATGAGATCTGTAAAAAAAGCAATGAGAATGCTTCTGTAATTCTTCATTTACAATTCAAACATATTTAAGACAAGCTTACACAGCATCTGAAGTGTTTATCGCTTCAGTTGGTCCAACACGGCTGGCTGAATGTTGTCAAATTAGAAAAAAAGTCACAGGAGGATAGATCATGGGAAATTGGAGGGATTTGGTACCACAGCAAGGACTTTCTGGCAATATTCAAATGTAACTCTGTAAACTTGTGCTGTGCTCTTGGTAATAGAGAATATGGGGTATGACTAAAAAAAAACGGAATAGTGCTATGAAATTGTTTATTGCTTTCACAATTATTAATATACTTCCCTCTATAATTCCTATACCCATCCATGTGAATTTTTCATTGACCATAGCAGTGCTGTTAATAATTTTTTGAAAGCATGTTCATGGTCTCCCCTTTTTCTTTGGCAGCCTTACTGTCTCAACGCGCTGTCGTCCTTGAACACATGAAAATATTTCTAGCAGATCACAAATGCAAGGTCCACTTCAGTCAGGTTGTTTCTAGCCACACCTCATAAATTCTCATTCGTTTTAAAACAGACCTCATATTACAACCTAAAAATGTTTATCTGTTCTAACTAATAAAACAATTCAAATACGAGCTGCACAAAAGCTAGAAAATGTTCTATTTAAAAATCGAAACTAATTTAACCATCAGAGGAAGCTCAAGAGCGTTCAGAAAGTGAAGACAGCCTGTGAAAAATGTGACGAAAATAACAGCTTTGAAGACAAAAAACTCGACACGACATCCGACAAAGTTGAACTAGAACCACCCTCAATAACTGCAAACGAAAACGACAAATCCGGTTCACACTCAGACATATCATCACTAAAATCACAAACAGCCATCTCAGTAGTAGAGCCGGAATCAAGTCAAAGTGCCAAATCAGAATACAAAGAACCAGACGGTTCTGAAGAGGAATTCGCGTTAGAAAAGAACGATTTTCTATTCGACGACGACATAGTCCTGCTGACGTACAAGAGAAACGGCTTGATCCAACTCAAAGAACAGTTATCGAAAGACATGCATCAAGAACGAAAAGACATAGAAGTGCTAAAATCGAAGCTAGAAGCTTCTACCAGTGTAGCGCCGACTCCCAAAGTAGTTATACCCAAACAAGAAACGTTGGACGAAGTTATGACGTTGCTGCAAAACGAGAATAAAATTTTACAAATCAAAAAAATAAATTTGGTGAGGAAGATAATTGAACAGAAGGAATTGTGTATAGAATTGAGTGCACAGTTGAGGTTAGCAGAAAATGACAAATACTCTAATTTTTAAATTATAAAACTTTGTTAATAGATAGAGTGTCAGAAGGATGGTTTGTGGCTGTGAAATTCTTGCTTACGAAATATTTCCCAACCTCCATAATTATAACACAGGGCATTAGAGGATAAAATTGTCTTGGCCACTACTAACTGCATTAGTAATTTTATCTCAATAGTATTAACTATTCCACATTGACCTTTGGGTCCACCAATTTCCTACTCTAATGTGCCAATATATGCTTACAAATTTCTAGAATGTATCTTGTAATTATGGACGTATTCTGTATGCATTGCATTCTTAGCCACCCTTGATTAAGTATGATGTTCTTGAAGCAAAACCGTTGGATCCAATTTCAACATTTATTTAACCTATTAGTAGGTTTGGGTCTTAAACAAGAGTACCATTCACCATAACCCTTATGGGATCTATCATGGCTCATGCCTTATAGTTGGCGAGGCTTGTTAGAGATAATTCCTTTGACAGTATAATGTCAATAAATGTTTCTGGTCATATGAGACATTCTAATGATCAGAATCAAGGATTGGCCATAGAAAGACTGATGGAATAAAATCGGAGCTTCACTTAGTTGAAGGAAAGGTGACTTGATCAGTCGAGTCTGATTGATGAAATGAGAGTTAAGCTGAATTATGGAATAAAGCAAGCTCTGCATGTGTCAAGAAACAGAAAAAAAGAGAACCTGCTGGAAATATACAAGGAAATAAACCCTGCAGCTGACTTTAAGGATATAATAAATATGGATGTTTCATTATTAGCACAAATCATTCTATCCAACTGTTTGATTGGTAACATCCTATATAGAAGATGCGTAATTTGTCCCATGTATCTTTTGACAGTTACTGTATGTCGAAGAATAATATTTGAAATGAGTATTTCTACGAAGGTGCAGGGTGCGGCATTTGTGACTCATTTCCTATCTAAAGTACTTCTGCATATGTCCAGATACTCTATGGAAATGTTTTTGTTAGACATAGTGCGATGACAAAAGCCTCTTTGTGTGTTATATTTATCACTTCCTTGTCTAGTTTAATGGTTCCCATGGAGTATCAACTTAAATGCCGAGGCCTGCAAAATTAGGATCTCTGATACCCAGTAAAGTAATTTTATTTTACAAAAAGAGGAAAATATATTTATGTGATTATAATATTAAAAAAAATTATATATAAAAATTAATTGTTATTATCTATACAGGGTTTATGCACTGTTATTGAGTATAGATATTATGTTATTGAACTAACAGGCAAAATTTTATAACAAGAATGTTATTACCTATATGAAAAGGAGATTTAAAATGAAATTGATTTTAGAAAGATTTCCAGCATTCGCACATTCTATTAAACTATTTCAAATAATAATAATAATAGCTAAAATTAATAAATTTTAATATTTAAATGACCAACTCACATTATGTTCCTTATGTCTTTATTTACTAATTTAAGTATCAGAAAATATACCTAATAATTTATTAAATCAACAATTTTTACCTTTACAAATAAATTTTACTTATCTACGTATTTAGATTTAATAATAAAAAAGTACTTAAATATATCTAAAAACTTCCAAGAAAAAATTAAATATTCTTTTGTTCTTTTTATGCTGATTGGGATTAAAAATAAATGTAGTGCGAGGAACACTGCTAAAGTTGGCGCTATGTTATCTAATTCGCTGTATTGCTTCTCATAATATTATATACAATCTATACACTTTTGCATCCGATGAAACCAATCTTCTAAACATTTCGCACTCTGAGCAAGGTACCTTTTAAAACAAATAATTTAAATGCTTCAAAATCCTCTTCAGGCAATGAATAACGCTCGCCAGGCATTTTATTTTTAATGTATCAGAATAAAAATAAGTTATTGGACGATACATCAGGCTAATGTGAGCAGTGAGTCATCAATTAAATATTGTTGCTTGTCAAAAACTCGATGGTAAATTTTACCGTTACATCGATTCCAAAAATGTTATTTTATAACCTTCCAATTTGTATTAGTTGTTCCCACCTTCAATCGGCAAAATAAAACTAATGTTTATCGATATTAAAAATTTTTAAAGAAAAACCTAATTTGATATAGATTCCTTCCTTATATTCGAAAGAGATTTTTTTGAAGACTTTAAAAAGGCCAACCCAGTGATCTTCTTATCTTCTCTTGCGATGACATTAGTTGTTTTATCTCTGATATCTTTGCCGTTATTGAAGATTTTGGCTGATTGGATTCGGAAATTAGACAAAATATTTTAAATTTTTGATTTTTATTTTTCTTATTGTGTAGAAAATTGAAAAGGAAAGTGTTATCTGATTTTTTAAATAAATTTGCTGTTTCATTACTATTTTATTTTCATGATTTGCAGATTTTATAGAATTTTCTTTATTCATAATAGTGAACACTTGTTTTATTTTATTATTCAATCATTTTTTTTTCATGTATTTCAAGTTAAATTAAGTTTCTCTCCTTCCAAAATTTTTAACATCGATAAAATAGTATGTAATTATTTTACCGATTAGCGGTGGGAACAACTAATACGAATTAGAAAGTTATAAAGTAACAAAAGTTTTGAAATTGCGATCAGTCTGCATTAACTGTCCTACTCTCTAATGCAACAGTTAACTAGTTTTTTTTTTCTGAAAAAAACGGACCATCGCATCAAACGTTGATCTCCGCTTGAATTTTGCGAACCATTTGTAAACCATAATTTTGGATGGTATTTCATCCCCAAATAACGAAGTGTGTGTGCCGACCAGAGTTAGAATATGATGACTTTAAATCTACTAATTCGAATGTCGTAGCTATGTGTTTCAATAGTCCAATTGGTAGAGGCGCCGAGGATTCAACTCTGAAGTTCCAGGTTCAATCCCTGGCAGATGCACTCATTGCTTGGTTTAAAATCGAACAGTTAACTAAATTATAGGTTAAAAACGTCATTACGAATATGACATTTGCAATACAAGGAGTCAGTACTCGTTTTTACCAACTTTAGCAGTGCTCCTCGTAAGCTGTTAAATTCAGTTAATGCATATATACACAATCCTTAATGAATTGAGTACATCTGATCACTTACGAATATTCTTGCTTTCAAACAGTAATTAAACGTCCAGAGTTTGCTCTTGAGACAATGTTAAAATTCTCATAAAAGATTTTAAAATCATGAGTAAACTTATTGGTGGTGAACTGTATCGAAAATCTGAAATTAACCTGCTCTTTTGCTTACAACTTATCTTTATTTGCACTTTTTTTTAAAACAAAAAGGACAGCCTGCATCCTGGATTTTATAGTTTATACTCTGGATGAGATGACCATACAGGTCAAAGTTAGGGGAGGCTGTCCACAAGGTTGGACCGTGGACAGAAGTTGAACATGCCTTTGGTAAGTGGAGAGGTGGTAAACGTAGATCCCCGTAGGATGACTTCAATAATTTCGCCGTAATGTTTGTTCACCAGTATCGTATAGTAGAATAAAAATAATACGAATTATTTTAAATTGTTAAGCTTAATTTATAACCGCCGTAACGTAACTTAAGAACAGAAAGTTGGCAGAACCCGTTCGGTTTATCAAAACTTTCGGATTATAGAATTCAAAATAAATGATATGTATAATCCGAACACGTTCGGTTTATAGATACATTTCTTAACCGTACAAATACATTTTTACCACAAAAGTTCACGTACTGAATGGCTATAAAAACTTTTATTTGTGTTATACAGAAATACATACATTTATACACACTATAACGTATGTATTTCAAAGTGAAAACAAACTTCTAAGAAAGAGGAACACCGTACAATACATTACATAATATGTACTATAGTAGGTACATAAGTATACGTAAGTACAGGCATATTGCAAATACGAAAAATACAGTAAACGTTTAAATAATAATAATTAAGATTTTTGAAAGAGTCCAATTGGCTAAACACTTCATTGTCTCTTAATTTTTCTTTGAACAAAATTGTCAAGAGTACTTTGAACAGATTTCTTGATGCTTAGATCGACAGCGTTCTGTCGAATTCTTAGAAGAATCACTTCATGCAGTGGTAATGCATTTTCTGCCGCCTATTGTAGACATGAATTAAATGACATGACCGCCTCTTTACAGAATATTTTCTGAATAGGTTCGTCATCGGAGTTCTGATTTTGTCCTGTGACGTTAGCTGAATTAGGGCGGTACAATTGGGTTGTAGAAACATTACTTGAATATTACCATCATGGCTGGCTAGTTCTTGGTCTGGTCTGTGAGCTGAAGCATTATCCAATACCAAAAGAGCTTTCTCTTCAAGATTGCTGTTTCGAAGATGCTTTTTTACGCTTGGTACGAATTCATTGTGAAACCATTCTTTGAAGATATCTTGATTTACCCACGCACTTTTTTGGTTTCGGTAATAGACAGGTAGCTGAATGTTTTTAAATGGTCTTGGATGTTTTGATTTGCCGATCACAAGCAACCGCAATTTGTGTCGGCCACTTGCATTTGCGCAAGGCATAAATGTTATTCGATCTTTACTGATTTTGCGACCCGGTGCACCCTTTTCGCCTGCGTGTACTAATGTATTTTCTGGAAGGCAGCGCCAGTACAAACCAGATTCATCCGCGTTGTAGATTTGCTCTGTAGAAAGACCGAATTGCTCAATTTTTCGTTTCAGTTCAATACGAAAAGGTTCCACGGCATTTTCGTCACTCGACAGCTTGTCCCCTTAACTTTCAACGAGCGGATTCCAAATCTGTGCTTGAAGCCTTGGAACCATCCTCTACTACCTTCAAACTTCACTTGTTCGCCATAATTCATTTCTATGAAAAATTGGCGAGCCTTCTCTCGAGTAAAAACCATCTGTATACTGCATCTTCAACATTAGAAAATTCCGCACTGCGCATCGTTTTCCTTGTTCCTGGCCCTTTTTCAGTTCGCCACACATAACCAAGAATTATGTTCTTATTTTTCTTGATGATGGATATTGCTAACTTACCAACATTAAAGCGTGCTGCCAAGGACGTGAATGA